CTTGTTGTGATTACGAGTTGCGTTATCGGCGACGCATGGCGCGGGCGCCGCACGACGTGGATCGCTTTTGTGACCCGCGGCTCACGGCAAGCCGCCGCGCCGAGCTTGTGAACTGGCTACGGGATGTTGCGGCGGATCCCGAGTGTAGTCAAGCGCTGCAGATACGTTTCAGCTTCTCCGTTCCCTGCGAGGCTGCCCTGGAAGCCGTCGTCCGTCTCCCATGCGAGCTCGTCGTCTCAGCCGGGGCTGGTCTTGGGTACTGGGAGAGCTTGCTCGTCTGCCGTGGCGTGAACGTCATTCCCTTTGATAACGGCACCTGGTTTCAAACCAGCGCACCCGCATATTGCACTGTCGTTCCTGCCAACGAGCGTGTCCTGTCACGCCCCCTGCGTCATCTGCTGCGTTGCTACCAGCGTGCCGCCAACGCCGATCTTCTTGAGGTTGTGCATAGCGATGGTACCACTCAAGTGGGTCAGGCCGCCGCTCACCGTGCTCGGCATGCCAACAATCGCTTTGGCACTGAATCGGAGGACTCGGGGGATTCGGAGGACTCGGGGGACTCGGGGGACTCTGGAACCACGGAAGAAGACTCGGAGGACACAAAAGGCTCGGAAGACTCGGAGGACACAAGAGGCTCGGGGGACCCTGAGGCCTCAGGAGACCCGCAAAGTGACGCGCACGAGGACGGCATGACGCTCCCTTCCAACGATGCTCCACGTGCCTCAGATGCCGCTCATCATTGCCTCGAGTCAAAACCACTCACGATGGGAGACGGCCAGCATCCCCCTGCCGAACCCAACTTGAACGAGCTGCAGGCATCAGAAGTCACGTGGGAAACCGACTTGCTCTTGCCAAGTTGGGCCAAGACGGCTCTTTTCTTGGCATGGCCTGACGAGGCAGAATCGAGCTCATTTGGAGAGGAATGCGTGCGTCGGTTTCAAGGACAATGGATCATCCACGTTGGTGAACTGGTCGGGCAGACCTGCGCCGCCAATCCCTGGGGTCAAAGCACAGCCCGCTCCTGCCAATTGGCACTCTTCGAAGCCTATCGCTGCATCCAGCGCGTGCCTTTGCCCACCTGGCCGGGGCACCGGGATGAACTGACCATATGGGCTCGCTGCACAGCTCCCGTGGAGTGCGCTGGTGGAGATTTTGTTCACGTGCCCGCTTTGTGACTTGGTTCAGCTGCCTTGGACCCCCCTTGTGGGCAGCCAGCAGGGCTGGCGGAGAAACACGGGCTTGTGGCTTTCAGACCGTATAAAAGAGAATGTGCAGTTGCTTGTTGACAGACGAGAGATTGTTGTTGACAGATGAGAGATTGTTATATCGTACAGAGACAAAATCGACTTCGCCGCGCGAAGCGCCACATCTCACAGTTCAATCAGGCAATAAGTGTGCACACATGCCACACTAGGCCAATACTGGCCCCATTGGGCCGAGATACCAAGGGGCAAAGTAGAAGCAAAGCAGTGACGTAAAGCAAGAGCCCGTCACATTCAGGCCGATGACCAACGTGCAAACACCGTACAAGGGGGAGAAAGTATGGGACGGGCACTGTTACGAACAAACACCCGGCCACACATCCTAAGCGGGCATTGAAGACGGGCCGGGGAGCAAAAAATGCTGGTACGCTTCTTGCGTCTCAGTTGATGGTGGACTTGCGCCGCAAGCTGGAAGAGGAGCTGACAGACGAGCTGGAGCGAGGGCGAACAAAAGAAGCACGGCTCGGCGAGCCGAGAGCGCGCGATGTCACCGACTTTCTGGCACCATCCTTGGAAACTGGCGCGATGGTGTTGATGACAGCGATCCACAGGTCACGCAGTTCTGGCGAAGCGGCACGGAACGTATAGACGCGCTTATTAGACTCAATGAGAAACTCGTGCTCCTTGGACATGGTCTTGCCCTTGGGCTTGCTTGCCGCCATAATCTGCGCGTCAAACCAAGGTCGCAAGGATCATGTTATGTTGAGGGGCGATTGCGCTGGTCTACGCGCCAAACTGAAGAGAACGCGGCCGAATTGAGGGGGTGCTCACCTCAGACATGGGAATGCGTGTCTTGATGTGCGTGCGCAGTTCGCGGGAGCCATCAAACACAATCACCGCGTTTTGTTGGAGGTCAAAGACCAGCCAGCGGTGATCCCAATTGGTGCCCGTCTATGAACAAAGAGTTTGACGTGCACACATTATTATTCAAAACAAGCAGACAAAAGGCCGCTGTGGCCTAGATATCCTACAAAGAGGCGGGCGAGGGTGGTCGTGCGCCTGCAACTTGCCTGCTTCACAATTTCGCTCTTGCACTTGAAGCGCGTAAGCTCGACGCCAAGCGGCAGCTGTTCCAAATCCCGACTAAAGCCGATGAAGCTAACATTCAAACACAGCCAAAGGGCCAGACCTTGAGTGGACGGGGATGCAAGGCACGCTTCTTCAATCGCGCACACAATCCTCATCTGACACGTACCGAGCCAGGTCGACGTCAACGTCGGAGCGATCGCGCGTCTTCTTGCGGCCATACAGTCGAATGGCCTTGGCCATTTGCACTTGCTGCTTCTTGTTGCCTTCCTCCATCCTCTTCTTCTGAGCTTCCAATTCCTGACGCGCCAGCTCGGCCTCGGCTTCGGTCTGAGCCTTGGCACCCTGCATCTCGGCTGCCTCGGACTGCGCGGCCTCGAGCTCTTGTTGTGTAGTTTCCAGCTGCTTCTCGAAATTCTCCACCTTGCGCTGCGCCATGGCATACTCGGCATCCTTCTCCTCCATTTGGTCACCAAGTTCCTCCAGCTGCGCACACGCGGGTTTTTATTGATGGTCAACAGCCAACAGCGACGAAAACACCTCAACTTTTTGGGAATGGTTTCAAGATTGCTGCGAACAAGCTCCCAGTCCCCTTCTCTAACCCGGTCCTGCAATCCCGGTTCAGGCTTTCCATACCTGGCGCTCAAGCTCGTGCTTGGCAATCTGCAACTCTGAGACCTCACGCTCGCGGCGGGTGACGTTCTCCTCCAGCGCTTGCAGCTTGGCATCAAACTCCTCCTGCTTGCGCTCAGCCTCGCGCTCTGCACTGGCAATGGCGTCGCGAAGCTGGCCTTGCAGCTCAGAAATGAGGCCCTCCAAGCGTTCCTTACTATCGGCATGCTGCTTCTCCGCCGCCTCTAGTCGCTTGTTGGCATCTTGGGCAGCCAGTTCGGTGTCCTGCGCCAAACGATCATGGGCTGCCTTGGTGCGTTGCACAAGCAAGTGCTGCTCGTTGATTTTGGCCAGCAAGCGGTCTTGCTCCTCCCGCATATCTTCAAGCCGGGCCTCGGTCGATTTGGTCTTGCCACGTTCTGCCTCCACCTGTGCATCGAGGGCCGTGATGCGGCTCTGAAGATGCTGTGTGTTTTGTTCTGCGGCCGCAATTTCGTGCTGCACCTGCGTCTCCTTTTGGCGAAGCTGCAGGCGCAACGTCGCGAGCTCATCCTCAGCCTCGCGCACACGGCGGTCGGCATCCTCCTTGGTTGTGCGTAGCTTGCGCTCGAGCTCAGCGTAGCTCGAGTCGGCTTCCTGCTGTCGCGTTTTCAGCAAGTCGTCCTTGCTGGTCAGCATGCGCTTCAACTCCTTGACCATGGTCTCGTGCTCACCACGCGTCATCTCAAGAAGTGATTCCTACAGATGTCCAACGACGCCCAAAAGCCCCCCAAGGTGCAAAAGTGAGAAACGGTTCAAGTTTGGCCCTCAACACCCACGAAATTTGCCACAGCGACTCAAGTTGCTTGTGCAAACAAGAGGACAGCCATTCGCATAGCCACAACCATGCATGGGCACCCACCTGTGAGGTCAGTTTGCTCTTAACCCGCATCAGCTCTGAGTCGCGTTCGTCCAGTTCCATGGCCTTCTCGCGGAGCTTGGCTCGCAGTTCAGCAGCGGCTTCGGCCTCGCCGGTTGAGACCTTGTGCTCGAGCTCAGTCATGATGGCTTCCTTCTCAGCAATTGCCGCGCGCAACTGCACATCACGCTGCTGAAGTTGCAGCTTGAGCTCGGCCACTTCCTCGGTCATCTGCAACTGTGCCTTGTGATGCGCAGATGTCTTCTCTTGTGCGTCTTCAGCGATTTCGCGTTGCAACTGGTCCACGCGCGCATTGGCCTTCTCCAAGGCCGCGTCACGGTCACGGATGACGCCCTCTAATCGGGCCACCTCGTCCTGCATGTCGGTACGGCCACGATTCATTTGGCTCTTGACACGCTCCAAGTCGTGCTGCGCATCCGCAGCTGAAGCTTCCGCGGCCGAGAGCTTGCTAC